GGAGGCTCTGGGGATTCCAGACTCTCTGAAATATTTCAACAAACATGCAAATCAAAAAGGGGAAACTTGAAGAAAATTCGAGTATGCATCTTGTGTTAACACAAATGTAACCGCACATTCAGGATTACAGGAACTAAATGTAATAGTGTCAGAATCAATTATTAAAAACCCCATACAGGTTGATGTTGATGACTATTCTTAATATTAAGAAAACAACAGACGATATTATTTACCATTGGCAAGACCTTTGTTAGGCACAGAAGTCAAAGTGGGGAAAACATGAGAGGGTTTCTGACCATTCTCTGTTCTTTCACTGGTAAAGTCACAACACACATATTATGCACGAAATACACATACATTACAGTTCAAAATTTTGATCAATAAGAATAAAAAAAATTAAAAGTCCTGAAAAAAGATAAGTTTCCACAAAAACATTAAGCTGCACAACTGTTTCCAACACTGATAATAAGACATGTTTCTTGAGCACCAAATCAGCATATTAAAATAATCTCCGAGGAATCATGTGACACTGGAGACTAGAACAATGCCTGCTGAAAATTCAGCTTTGCCATCACGGGAAAAAATTCATAAATTAAAATAAATTCACTGTTTTCACTGTATCTTTGATCAAATAAATGCAGCCTTGGTGAGTGCAAAATACTTTTCATGCGGAGATCTGTTAGATTACACACCGAATCAAACGAATGAGTTTCAAATATTATAATTTCACTTTCAAAAATAAGTGCAAAATGTGAGTAGTAAAGTCTCTAACTCCTAAAGATGTAAATTTAACAGTGCCATTTTATGTAAGCAGCATTAAATTGATCTTATTACGCCGAATGCTTGTGATGTGATATTCGCACCCAAATATAGTAGGCAGCATACTTGCTGGTCTTCGGTGGTTTTTTGTTGAACAAATCCATGGTAAAGTCATTGTTCCAGCACACGGTATACTCAGAGATGCCAAAGTCCTCTAGTCGAGGGGTCAGAGCATCCTCCTCCATATGCAGCGAGCACTTGGGTGTCTTTGGCTGCATGTTCATGACAAATGATGGTGGTGACAGAGCCACAGCTGGGACAGGAGCAGCAATGTGAGGCGGCTCTGCTTCACCAAGCACTCTTTGGAACTGGAGCGCAGACAGACCAAAATCGGAGAGCTTTGGGGTCCGCAGCTGGTCAACAGGTGGTTGCATCTTCTCAGGTGTCTCAGACTGTTGAGCCTCTTCACAAATCCCTTGTCCCATCACTTCATCTTCCTCTGCAGCATCTCTCTCTGCTTGCTCTTCAGCCTCTTTTCTACCATTCATCTCTAGAATAGTGAGTGAATCAAAAAAACATTTCCATTGAAATAAACATGAATCGTAGCAAAGCCTATACTTGAAACAAACAAAAATTCTATTTTAATCATCAGTTACAGATAATATATCAAGCCAAGCAGAGGCAGCACCAGGATATTAACATTCTCAGATGTAATAAACATTAACCTGTATTTCCCTTGTATTAACCTTGCATTTCGTGGTCTGTAACCATACTTCTCATTGTGTTTCTTCAGCCTGTCAGTGTCTTCTGTGGTTCTCTGCTTCAGCACCAAGCATCTTCTTATGAAGTTCCTCAGCTCAGTACTTGTTGCATCATGTGTGGCCACCTGATCTTGAACTTGCCGCTGCACGTGATTTTGTGTGAAATGTAGGCCATATTTAAATAAAGTGAAATCATGAGCCATAACTAAACATGCACATACCTTCAGTGCTCTGACTTCAGAGTGCAGCTGGTACAGAGCTTGAGCCCCATTCTCTTCATCCTCTGAATAACACACACACACACACCAATCAGCAGATGCATAATTATGACCTGATAATTTTATTAGTAACTATAAAACATTTTCTGGCAACTTACCATCGTCGTCTTGGGGGTTTTGACTTGCATGCAGGAGATTGTTGCTTTCAGTCTCCAGACAAACAGTCAGTTTCCGCAGCTTTGCAAAGAAACGCTCAGAAGGATTCATTTTCAATGTCCCTCCGATTTTACAGGCTGACATGACAGTAAGTAATTAGTAATAATAAGAAACTCTAATATTTTAATAATTATATTATTACATATAATATTAACATAATGATATACAAGTATAATACTGGTAATCCTTCTTTTCTACAATCACAAAAAAAACTGTTTTGGACTGTCCTGCTAATATGGAAAGTGTACAATAACAAGTATAACAATAACACACACAAAAAACCCAATGAAGATACTGTCTTGAGCACATTCAGTTCAGCATAAAATCGCATAA